ACCATTTTCATTTATATAATGCTCTGTGAACACAAATTAGTTTGCATAAATCAGTTAAATGACGAACAACTAGGTGTCTATTTACTTGTGACCACTCAGTGTACATCTACTGTAGTCTGTGCCGAGGACCCCTTTCGAGTTAATAGTAATTTGTGCTCATCAGGCCGGCTGGGATGTAGTGGTTCGTGAAACTATACATCGCCTATAAATATGCGCACATGAGAATTTCGCTTAGAAACGGATATAAAGTAACTAATCTATTTGAATCTTTTTCCGATTACATCATGATAATAACAACCAACCTATCCTTCTTAAAAACTTTTAATATTCTCGACTCCGGAACAACAGGTTTCGAACTCTTCATTACAGAAAGACTTTCAATTATCACCTAACACTGAATATTAACATAAAGTCGCCCCAGTTATTATTAGTGTGATCATTTCCTTTTATTCATTTATTGTTAAAGATGCAGTTATTTATGCTTGTATTTTAGCGTTGCGGTATAAACGCAAAAAAAGTTGTCAAGTAACAGAAACCAATCGGCCCAGAATTTGTGATAAAAATTATATTTTGACGTTAAAACCGTAACTTTTGAAATATTATACTGTATCTATATAAATATAATAGTGCTGTCTGTTGTATGTCCATGTAACTAGTTCTCAGCGTGTGGATGGATCTTCACCAAAATGTGTATGGAGGTTCATGCGGGGGTGCATACAATTTTTCAGTTTTGCTGTTTTTATGGGGGTTTTACCACTAATTCGCCCCTGTAGATGGATCTTCACCAAGTTTGATATGGAGGTACATTGAGTCCATGGGGAGATACATACAAATTATCAGTTTTGCGGTTTTTATAGGCGTTTTTTACCACAACTTCGCCCCCCTATTGAGGATCTTCACCAAATTGGGCATTAAGGTTTGTTGGATCCATGTGGAGATACATGCGAATGTGCGGTTTCATATTTTGTGTTCTGCGTTTTTTAAATTACATATAAGGGAAGCAACTTTTCATGTCCTAAGATAACTCGTGAATTTACGTAACTTCCGTCCAGGGGACGGGTACTCCAGCTAGTATATAAATAGCATTTCAGAGAATTTTTTTCTCATTGTTCACCCAAACTGACGAGTTACGGTATTGAACGAAGGACCTCTTCACACTGACTTGTAGTAGACTAAATATATATCTGAAATGGTATTTTTACACCATTTTGATTTTGACTCCGCATTGGACAAATTAAGAATAATGAAGAAAACAAAAATCTGAAGTTAGCGGGATTTTTATTACAAGCTTTGGGCTGGGCCTGTTGGTTTAAGATATTAACCTTTCTTTATAATAATTTATCTTAAATATATGTCTGACGCACGTTTTATTGTTACAGTTTAAATATGTGTTCTTTCTAACGTTTTGGTTGTATCGGAAACTTCTCGCTTAATTGTTGATGTCGTCTTTCATAGTTGAAATACCCTGAATTAACTTTTTGGAGGTTTTAACACTGATGACGGAATTTGAAACAACTTCGTTTTCCACCTGCAATTTTTTTTAATATTGGTAAAACAAAACGCAGAAAATGTAAAAGCACGCTATTAATGGTGAAACAAAACACAGACAATATAGGTTATATACAAGATTGCTATATGGTACAGTAGGAAACTATCATTAATAAAATTCTGAGAATATAAGTAATACAAGGATCCTTTTTGAAAATGCGGGTTAATATAGGTAGAGCACGAGCATTGGTGATAGTACTTGCATCTAAGAATTCGAAATAGGTAAATTCATGAGTTTTAAAGATTTTATTCTTTCCTTTTCGTTAGTGTTCGAAAGCTGTAAAACGTTAACCAGTTTGTATTACATATGTTTTTATCGTTTTATATGAGATCCATATTTATTCAGTCTCTTTGAATATACCTGAAGAAGCTATGTGAAGAGTTATTAAACATAAAGTAACGGAAGTTATATAAATTCATGTCGAATAACACAACACATTATTAATTTGATTTTGTGATGTTTTCCTTGTTTTTTCAGAGAAACAAATGTAGTTCACAAGAAATTCCATCCAGTAACAAATCACGTACAGTGAAATGTTTCGCCCCGTTATCAAATATAGGTCTGACATGTATATATATATTCACAGACAGACACACAAAGTTAGAGTAATGGTGTCAGAAGTCACCAATAACATTATTCATTCACAATTAGCCTTGACTTGGTGAAAAATAGAAGATGTGTACAAAGTCATGTTACAACGTACGTTGACGCAAAGTAGCACCTGAATCTGGCTGCTATTCCACAATATATTCCTCCCCTTCCAGTTGATTGTATATCGTGGCTTATATACTGTGTAAGTAAATGTCGGTTTTATTCACAGTATAACTATATTGTTTTCGTATAAAACAGTTAAATTATATAAATTAAAATGCTGGCGCAGCTGTAACACTGCATTCTTACCCATTGCGTCTAGAAAAGATCACGCCTCTTGCAAAAATAAACCGACAGTTTAGTTTAACCATTTTCAGGGCCAGACAATGACCGATCCATATTTTGTAAGTAAAGAAAGTCATTCAAATTTAGAGAGAGCAACAGCTGCTTGCAGAAAGACGTAGTGTCACGTACACGTGCATACAGGAGCTAGAGAGCAGATGGGTGAAATTTAGCAGGCGGACTGCACTGCCGATGATCTAACAAGCATATGTTGTTGATAAACTTGGCAAAGTGCCACGGCCTGAGACGTATGTACTCGTACATCGTGTCACGCCGCTTTACACTGTATCAAACCTCGTGGGCTACGTCTGTACGCTATGTTTCCGTAGTGCCATATTATCAACATAATATGTCTACTTTTGAAATCTGTGTTTGAGTTTATTTCTCATTTGTTTAAAGTAGATCTATTTATAATCAATCGTCACTTCCATTCTCTTACCGAGTCTACGCTTTCACACAACTAGGTTTAATTTTATATCTATTCACTTTTAATTTTATGGCTATTCATAATACATTTATTATAAAGAATTTTAAAAACATTTTTGACTTTAAATTTTGTGTGTGTGTGTGGCTTATTTCTGATAGGGTAGGTGTTTAAGTTAACTTACAATATTTATGTGAACCGGCAATCTTTAGTTTACATTTTTTTGATGTATGTGTGTTTATTCAACTTGAAAGTCTTGTAGTAATGAATTTTGAAGCTATCGAGGTTATTTCTTTGATAAAATTAGTTACAAATATTGAAAACTAAATGTAATATTTGACATTTATGCTATAATTGGATTTTATGAGTCTTGAAAGTTGTCTGTTTGAGGTGTATGTTTAAAGAAATTTACTTGTTAAATGTTTTAAAATTACACTGAATTGTAAGTGCCTATATGAAAAACACAATAATATTGGTATTTTTTCGTGTGTATTTTAATGCTGTTTGAAATGGGTTATATTTAGTAAGAAGCATATATATGTATGAATAAGAATAAACAGAAAAAAACTTTATCAATAATGGGTATGGTGTAAAAGTGTAGTCCCATGGCAACAAAATTACTAACAAAGAAATAATCGACAGAATTATAATTTTTGTTCATTTATATATTTGATAGTGTAGATATTGAGTAGATAAATCATAGAGGCTGAAAAAGGCAAGAACAGTCCCTTAGAAAGTACATATAAAAAAGGCAAGAACAGTCTCTTACAAAGTACATATAAAAAAGGCAAGAACAGTCCCTTACAAAGTACATATAAAAAGGCAAGAACAGTCCCTTAGAAAGTACATATAAAAAGGCAAGAACAGTCCCTTAGAAAGTACATATAAAAAGGCAAGAACAGTCTCTTACAATGTACATATAAAAAGGCAAGAACAGTCCCTTACAAAGTACATATAAAAAGGCAAGAACAGTCCCTTACAAAGTACATATAAAAAGGCAAGAACAGTCCCTTACAAAGTACATATACAAGGTACCAAATTTATTGTCAAAGGTGGTCAAAATTCTTCATAAACAGAAAATACATTATTTTTTATTAGTTATGCTGTGTTGCTCTCAAATTACTTCAATAATATATATATATTTATATACACACACACACATATATATATATATATATATATAATAAAAGATCCACGCTGATTTTCCAAGCACGTTCCCTTGGCTGTATAT